AATGAAGTGCAATTTTTTTTTCTCATTGAAGATGTAAATTTTACAACTAAGCATATTTCCCTCTTTGCTTTGACTACCAGGAAACCCAGGGTGAAATTTTGGGAACTTTACTAAGTGTGTAGGACTATACAGTCGATATGCCTACATATTATCTCTTTTCCCAGGAAGAGACTCTAGTCTATGTATATTTTCCCCAGTTTTGATTTGTATTTTAGTGTTAAAAATATTTTTAAATTTTTTCCTGTGAATTCTTATAAGCAAATTCAAATCCGGAGCAGAGTAAAAATGTAATTAGTCTCTTTAGTGAGCATTGTATTACGCAAAATGAGCAGGGCTTTTCCTTTTGCACATAGGACATAATTGTATAATACTTATACCAACAGAGAAAGATAGAGGACATTTGCATTTTTCCCATAAAAGCAGAACTATATGAGAGTAACTAACCCTCAAAATGAAATATAAAATCCTCAGTGTAAATTCCTTGAAAGTATAAAGGTCCTAGTTGAGTATAATGGGTACTAATTTATATAATTTTTAAGCTGTAAGGGTTATTTTAACCCCTTAGAAATCAGATAATCTAATATTTTATTGATAAGGAGCAGCTAGGCCATTCTCAAGGAACAAATCTGTAACTGTGCTGTTTTGGTGAGCTTCAGACTATCTGAAAATAGCTCTTGTTCAAGTATAACAGTAATCACCAGACTGCAACTTTTGAATTTGGCCCTTGAAATTAACCTTTGGACTCTGGAACTCCACACCAATCCAGGATCACGAAGGGCTCTGTCATCTGTGCTTTGCAAGTGGCAGAGAGGGGGCAGTGCTTTGTGGTGAGACTTAAGGAGCCCTGGCCAGGGCTCACCCTCCCAGCCCTGCAGAGTCAGCTGTGTCTGCTGCTGAGGGCAGTAAGGCAACAGCAGCCTCCTGAGCTCCAGCCTCTCCGGCTGTGGAGATGCTTCTAGGTCTTCAGTCTATAAAATGCATAGGATGGGGGAGGGGGTGTCCGGAGTTTCCCTGAGCCCAAGAATAATGCCACCTTTGATCTGTAGAAATGAAAAAACTGGAGCTTTTTCTTTGCAAGTGGGCTTTAAATATTTCTCCATTAATAGTTAATGCACATGCAGACCAGCAGAGTGACAGCTCCCTGTGATTATGAATTCTGGCTTCGTAACTCCAGTCCAAATAGGAGCTGAACTTTCAAAATCACGGTGGTTACTTTTGACAAATTAAATTGTCCTACTTAGGAAGGTAGAAGGAATGAAGAAAAAGAAAGTGAGAGAGGGGGAGCAAATTCTCCTTAGAGGTGATTCTCACATTGAGGAAGAAAAAACGAGAAAGAACTATGTTTGTGCTTTCTAGGCTGATAATCCTGCTAGTGTTTATTAGAAAATAGCTATAGAAAGTCCCCATTCAGAGGCTGGGTCAGTGGGCCAGACAAAAATGGGAGAGGGAAAGATATTGGCAGTATGACTCACTGTCTCAAAACAAGTAAGGAAGTATTTTTAAGGAAGTGATTATATAAGGAGAGTATATATAAGGAAGATTCGGGTTGCTCCTAAGACCCTACAGGTGAAAATTAATTAGAAAAAAAGTGGTCTTAAAAGTCTAATAATCTGAAAATAACAAGAAATGGCTTAAACAGAAAATCTACTTTGTAGCTGATTGTAATGTTGAGGTTCTAAATTATGTCAGGTTGTGTCAATGTATTCTTTGTCTATTAAGTCTAATTCCTTTCCTTTAATAAATCCCTTTGATATTTTGCTGGTTTAGGGTAACCAATATATTACAATAGGTACCAAACTCAGGAGGTCTGGTTAATGAATAATCTAAGGTGTGTATCTGTAGCTCCCCATTTAGGAGTAAAGGTCAGATGACTTTCTATCGAAGACCAGAATATACAATAAATAGGTAAAGTCAGGCAGGTAGTTCCTGATGTTGAAAATGCTAAAAAATCTTCACTCTCATTGACTACTAACATATTATACTTTCTCCAACAAAACATATCCAAATGTGGACTTTGGGGATTAATTTAGGACTGTATAATGCATGTAATGAATCAAGATCTGGGCATGACTATTTCAGGAAAAAGAGTTGAGTGATGAAATATAGAGATCCCCCCCAGAGAGAGGAGAGAACAAGTTTTGAATTCTATGATAACAGGAGTAATGATTCTGTCCTGGTCTCCAGTTCCTGGGATTTTACCATCACTCAGCTGAAGGTCTCTCTTAAAGGCTTAACCTTTGATCTTTACATTAATAACAGAGATCATGATCAAACTTCATTCTCATCCTTAATTTTTTAGTATATGTGCTGCTGAAGCAAGAATTCATCTTTAATTTTTTAACTCAACAACTATTGGTTCAACATCAGCTATGTAAGGTGTTTTGCTTCACAATGTATAAAATATAAAAGCAAGGAATTTTTCTTGGTGTTACAGAAGCATTTTAAGAAATGAAGATGATATACATAGGTTGAGATGGATTGGGAATGCTGTGAAAAAAGTTGGGCATCCTGCTGAATTGTCACAATGACTAGGAAATGTGAATAGTAAATGCCTGATAGTGGAAGAGGTAGTCACCTTCACCAACAAAAAATTGTTTTGTCCCAAATGTCAGTGGTACCCTTGATGAAAAATGCTGAGAAAGCATTGATATCTTTCAGGGCCAACAAATTTAAAGATTAAAGTCTCAAATGGTATAGAAAGCTTAGGAAAGTCTGGGGACCAACTGAAAAGCTCTATTACTCAGGGGTCTCTCTGATCAAGAGGGACTCCAAACCTTTGTCCCCCAAGTCATCAGTTGAGTTGATTTCTGAAAAAGTACATTAGAACATAGGAATGGGACTTTGAAAATGTTGACCTAACCTGAGAATCCTTGAGGATTCTAGACAAAGACCTGAAATTAATTTTCCTCCATCAATTTTTCTAATTCAGGAGCCACCCCAAATTCTAAACGAATCCTCAGCCAATATCCTCAGGATTGTTTTGGAGGTTTCCAAACCTCTGGAATAATGTGGGGGCTTGTATAAAGAAAGAATCTGCAAACCTGTGGCATTTGCCTTTGGTGTGTAAGTCAATCTTTAATTTTGCTTATAAGCCAAATGCAAAGTTAGTGCTAGTCTATAAACTTAGCTATGTTGAACACCTCAAAGCAGAAAGACAGTAACAGGACATGAGTCACAAATGAAGAACTCCGGTATGGAAAATGTTTGGGAAAACACTATAATCCAGAAGTACTGAGTGGGTGGAATAATGGCTTTCAATACACCAGAATGGGAATTCTTAGGCAGAACATTTACATGGAAAACAAGAAAGAGAAGACTGATTTCCTATTAATTGTAATGTAAATTATATGGATGTGATTTTGACAAAGAATAGCACTGTTACTGAAAAAAAAAATAGTGGTTTATGTGCAAAATACAAAATGCATCAAGAAGAAAAGAAATATTATTTGGCATCATGAGTGCAATAAAATCTGAAATAATGCCTTATGATTAGTTAACTTTTGTATTATTTTTTCCTGGTTGTCTTGATTTCTAATGCTTAATATTAGAAGTAAAGCTAATATTGTTGTATCAATAAATTAATAAAGATTAATGGGCATTTTTCATACATAATTATTGATCCTGACATGAAATGTGAAATCACCTAGCTTTGTTTACATTAGGTGAAGACTGTAACGCTAACAATATATTATGCTCAGAAGATATATTTGATAGCTTCGTTGTTACTGTGGACAGCTATCCATACAGGAAATAGCTAATAGTCAACAAAGTCGATTAATGTCAGAACACAATTCTTTAAGGAATAAAATATCACCATTTGCTGACTCCCTGGGGAGCTTATATCTTCTCTTAACCAAGATGATTCTCAGGGGACACTAATTAAAGTCAACCAGACCCTTGAAAAGTATAAATAAAGGTCTCTCTTTAAAGAAGGTAAATGTTAAAATGATATGTTAAGGAAAGGAACTTAAAATGATAAATAATGAGAAAGAAAGAAGACAACTTTTATTTGACCTTGAATGTACTTCTTATTCTATAAGAAATTTTTAAAGCTAGAGGTTAGTTGTTTCTTGTCATTATACTGTTGCTGATTCTGTGGTTAGTTATTAATTTTATTTTTTATGATTCACAATCTGCTCTTTGAAATATGCCATATGCTCAAAGCAATTCAAGGATGACAACTGTCAGAATTACTCCAATAAAAATTGCCTAAATGAGGAAGATTTACTGCAATCTGATATTTCAGTGGAAAGTCCCTCTACCCTCCCCAACAGCTTTTTCAGACACTGAATCTTGCAACCGTTTTTTTTTTTTTTTAAGTCAAAATCACATAGCTGTTTTCTAAGAACTTCTAAGACTATTTAAGTAGAATTGGTAAAAACATACTAGGCTAAAGGTGAATTAGCAGACATGGAAAAACAATATAGATAGTTATTAAATGGATTGCCTGCAATCAATATATGAGTTCCAAGCCAGTTTTCCTAAATCACATGCAAATGTATTGACTTAATATGACAACGTCTGCTCTATGTATCACTAATAAACATTAAATTGAACAAGCCCTCTACCCTGGAAGTAGCAAGCCAAACTGAAGGCAAATTTCCTTTTTCTCTGCAAAGATCTAAGGGGTGGATAGAATCCACCTGAGTGCTCCAATGAAAACATATCTTGTTAAATGTTACCAGTCCATTTATCCTTCATTTTGTTTCAGTCTATTTATTAATGCAGTTTCATTTATTGCTATTCATCTTGGAGATAAATCTTTGTCCTTCTATAGAATTACACCAAATAGAATGTGATAAAGGGAACTTTCTTGCAATTATGATGTCGGTGCAGCCTGTCAGCACACAAGGGATGGAAATGAGTTTGGGGACAGGGAAGGGAATTCTAATAGACACCATGATACATACAATGAACGCAAAGATATCCTGAGAGAGAGAGACTTGTCAGGCTAATCAGATCTTCCACAGCAAGGTAAAGGCAAGAAGGGTAGCTCTAACCTTGTAAAGATGCCGCTGCTGCTCCTCTGACATCATCAGGTCGTGGCTGTCCATCACGAGGGACTCCATGTCAATCAGCCAATCCCAGAGCTCCTGATATTCTGAATCAAAGTCCAGAAGCCTGAAGATAAGGCACAAAATGTATTATGCATAAATACAGTGTAGTTGTTAAAATCTCATATTAGAATAATATATTCTTGAAAACCCATGATGTTCCTAGGTGATACCTGTAAAAAGAGAAGGGAAAAATTCTCTGTGTGGTTACATACTGGGCAAAATAGAAACTCAAGCCTGTGACATAGCATTTCTTAGATTTTGAAAACATAACATGTAATTCTGATGCTCAAACTAGGGACATCATGACTATTTCCATTTGCAAACCCTTTTTGAGGATTGCAGCACTTGAACAAAATGACTACTACTACGTCCTTGAAAGAGAGCACTGGCATATTAACAGTCTGAGAAATGGAGGGTCAGTGCCTTGTGAAAGTTACATGGTCCAGAATTTTAGGTCAGAAGAGCACCTTCAAAATTCAAATCTCTTTCTTATCTGCTAGATTTTCATAGATATCACATCCTCAATACATCCATAATTAAGAATACTAATTTGACTAATTTCTCTATAATGATCACACAATTTATTATCATATTTTCAATATCATTTTCACTGAGAAACAACTCAATCATTTATTTGTCCCTCTGCTGTCTACCTGCCTATCTCTGCAAACATATATCTTACATTTATTGTCATGGATGAGTAGCCAGCATTTCAGCTTAACACTGAGAGATAGGCTTGAGTGACTCTGGTAAGCCAGTGAGAACCAGGGGCAGATCCAGTATTAGACAGGTGTTCCCCACAGACATGTAGGAAACAAAGGTAAGGACAGGAAGTCAAAACAATGAATCTTTGAATAGCCAGCAATCATTAAAATTCAAAGGAGGATCACTATGGTTTTCAACAAAATAAATCATTAGAATAAGGAGCTTAAAAGGATTAATGTGATTCTCTATTGAAAGCCTGGTGCATAAGTAAAGCCCAGAATCTTCTAAAACACTGTGATCAGAAAATGAAAGTGCAGGATGAAAAACTATGACTTTGTCCTTCCCCTAAAAATCATCTCTTTAAAAGAAATCACATCCTTGCCAAACTGTAACTGAGTAAAACCCTATCAGTACCAATGAAGCAGCTGGCTCAAGTATGAATCAGGATTTATCTATCAAGTGAGTAACTTATTACTACGTTGTTCCTGTCTCTGTACATTAAATGACTGCTTTCCAAGAAAATGAACATCCACTTTTCATAACTTAACAATTTAATTTTAATCTGTCAAAAAAAACCTTAAGATGTGTCTGGTGATGGAGACTAAATCTAAAATTGTCTATTTTATTTATTATTTCATCATCATTATAAAGATTATTGATTAAGACCATAAGTATCCAAAACCAAGGATCATCACTGGCTGATGTATAGAATTAATGTTTAACTAAAAGGTGATGTTGGGTATAGGTAATATGACCAAAAGCTTCAGCAAGGCTATGGTGGCCTAGAGCAGTGATTCTCAGACTTTAATGTGCATGTGACAGAGGTGAGGAGTTTGTTGAAATGCTGGTCCTGATTCAATAATTCTAGAGTGGGGCCTGAGATTCTGCATTCCTAACAACTGCTAGTAACTAGCGAGGCTGCTGGTCACGGACCTCACTTTGAATAGAGAGGAGTTTCAGCATACACCAGAAATCTGAAGTAAGATACTATTTCAAAATATTAAAAAACAAACAAAATCCACTGTAACAGGGACAGATAAACCACCAAGCTTTCTTTATTAACTCTGTGAGTGACTAGTAAGGAACGACTAATAAGCATTTGTTCACATGACAGATTCAATCATTTAGAAATACCACCTGAGGGGTGCCTGGATGGCTCAGTCCGTTAAGCATCTGACTTGGGCTCAGGTCATGATCTCATGGTTCTTGACTTTGGGCCCTGCATCAGGCTCTGTGCTGACAGCTCAGAATCTGGAGTCTGTTTTGAATTCTATGTCTCCCTCTCTCTCTGCCCCTCCCCTGCTTGTGCTCTGTCTCTCTCTCTCAAAAATAAACATTAAAAAAATTTTTTAGAAATACCACCTGAATTATAGCCATCATTTCTCTCTCCTTGCATTCTCCTACATTTTAACCATAAAGACAGGGGAAAAGCAGAATGCCACCCTACAAATTAGAAAAGTATGACTCAGGGGAATATTAAAAGCAAAGGAGAAATAAAGGGAAAAGTTCAACCTTTCCATATCTATGGATCTGAAGAATAAGAAAGAAATAAAAGCAAGAGGAGCAAGTGCTAAGGTATATATTCTCCCATCTCTTAGACTAAGACCCAGAGCAGAGGTATGTGAAACAGGTTGAAAAGAAAGCCAAAAGCACAAGGATATCAGCTCCATTACCTGCTAGGAAGTCTGGGAGGAGACTGCCTTAGAGTTCCTTCACCATAACCTGGAGTGGGAATGTTACACTCAGAGGGAACTTTGGTCAGCACTTCCCTTGCTACCTGTTCTTTTATCACCCCCCCCCCCCCAGGACACCATTCTCTCCCACATACCCCTACCTTGATGTTTCTGGGAGTTCACCGGATGAACTTGACAGAGGTGTTGCCATAGCAACAGAGGCACAGTGACCCCAAGGAGAAGAAGCGGAACCTCTGAAGCCAGACCTCAGAGAGTTGGCAGGGTCAGTGAGGGCTAAGATAATGCTTAGTCAGCAGGAAATACCTCCTGACCAAGCTAAGAGATAACAACACAGACAGTCCTCCGTAGGGGACAACCTTGGAATATCTAGGACAAGATCCATTTCAATGAACCCAGCCAGCCTATACCCAAGGGCCATAATAAGCCTGGGGAACTCACTGCAGCCTAGAATCACAAAAGTCATGTAAACCCAGATCTCATCTTAGAAAAAAGAAGGGAATGACATAAATCTAAAAAACAGCATTTACCCCAAGAGATAGTTCCCTAATGACAATGTTAATTTATTAGGGGAGGCTATAAGCATTGTGTTTAAGAGCCTGAGCTCTGATCTTAAAGCAAGGTTTTCCCCTGCTTTACCAGGAAATTATGTTTTAGGATGTTTCATAAAAATTATTAATCAGCAAGGAAAATAAAGAGGACTGTTTTCTTTTCCATATGTGTCTGGAAAAAGAAATTTTGATTATGACCAAACAATTCAAGAGTAAGATATGAATTTATCTTTGTATTGCTAGTGCTCAGCATATGAATGATGATGAATGAATGTAGATAATGAAGCCAAAAACCTTTAGCAGGGCAAGAATGACTTCAGAAGAGCAGCATGTGACAGAGAGAATGGTATCTTATCTCAAATGCCAATACCAACACAGCCAGGGTAACAGGGACAGGCTTCTTCACTCATTCAGAAGGCGGGATTTTGCCTCCCAGTACATGATAATGGTGCATTTGCTAATAAAAAAAATATTATGTGCAGTAGATTCTCAATTAATGTGAGTTGCTCTCCTGTTCCTTTCATATCTTCCTCTTTTCTACACTGAAATTAAAGCAAATGTGAACAAAACATATATAGGATGGAAAAATGTTCAGAACCATGGACATTTTTTCACTGCCTGTTTACCACACCTTTATGTCTATTGAACTGTTTCCTCCTATTATTTCCCTTCTCAAAGGGTTTGTCGATGAGTTAGTTTATCAAGGGTAGCATAGAACTAGTTAACAGTTTTATATCCCTTTGAAGAATATGCAGATTCTATCAGTTGAATTCAGAACATGGTTCTTTTCTTGAATTCTTGGTGACAAAGGCCCTAGTCTCTCTATTTTAGAAGAGAGAGAGAGAGAGCCAATTGAAATTCTGGCCAGTAGCTCAGAATTTTATAAGGGTATAAATATAGGAACTACTTATTTCCCTCACAAAATTTTCTCTGTAGTTGTGCTTTGGTTTGTGTTAACTCATCCACTCAAATATGTCATCTGTTAGATGCTAAAATGATGTCAAAGTCTACCTTTTCAGTACTGTATGAATCTGTTGTTTTCTCTATGAAAATGTTACAAAGCAAACTAATATCTACTCTATGAAAGTGTTATAAAGCAAACACATCACCAAAATGGTATTGTATTGGACACTTCTTTAAATTGCCATGTATTCCATCTTAACTGGGTTTATAATAAAAGAGTTAGACATTCTGTTGTAGATATAATATTTCCATTTTGGGAGGTTGAAAGGCTTAATAATGTTATGAGGAGAAACAGTTTTCTAAATCAAAATTTTTTTGTTAGGAAAGCACAGAATTATGTGTCTTTATTTCATAGATGGAGAATTTAATAGAGATGGAGACAAATCTATGGAGAAATAAATGTGCAACTTTTTCTTTAGTATTTGTTTCTAAGTTTGGGTTTACTACCATGGGTAATTGCCAAAAATATTTCCCAACATCCTGTCCACCATTTTACTCTGCCTTTTCAAGGTTACAAAAAGATTCCAGAGCTTTTCAGTATTATTTTAATACTGAAATAAAATACTACCAAGCTTTTCAGTATTATTTTCTTGCAGATTGGAGAGCAATACATTATTTGTAAGGCTAGCATAGTTTAAGAAATAATCCTTCCTCTAAACCCTGATGGGAGTTATGTTTGACTAGCTAAGTGTTTGAATACATAAATGCATTCAGCCTTTGGTATTTAAAGTGAGCATCATTAACTCAACATTTCAACTTAAACTTTGCTTAAAAGATAAAGTTTCACCCAAGTGAAATCAATGGGAGGTGTGTGTGAATATATGAGGTTTCAGCATGGTCCACTGAGGAATTTTGATTAAAACAGACAACCAAATGAAGAAATCATCAAAATAGAGCAATTATTGGTTGAAGAAAAGATAACACTATAAAGTCCTGGCAGGTTTTCTACCTAAGTCTCGGTGACATATTTGGGAACATTTAAGAATCCGTCTTTAAATGCTTAATGGTTCATTTCACACCAACACATCCAAAATACAAGACTGGTTCCTGAAATACCAGCTTGTCTATATTGGGACTTCTATTAAATGATCCAATTTTCCTAGGTTCTTTAGCATATTGATTCTTTCCCCAAATATTCACTAAGTGCTCACTGT